CAACAAGGTGGAGTCCTGGTACTTTATTGCTGTGAGATAAAGTACTGAACCGCAAGGTTGGTTTGAACCACAAGGTCACCAGTCCAAAACTAATTAGAATCAGCGGCTCTTTGGGAATCCTATACACGGTCACTGTGAGTCAGAACTGACTCAACAGCACTTAACAACAACAACAACAAATTAATAAGGAGCCCTGGTGGTGCAGTGGTGAAACATTGGACTACAAACCAGAAGGTCAGCAGTTGGAACCCACCAGCTACTCCAAGGGAGAAAGATGTGATGGTCTACTTCTCTAAAGATTGACAGCCTTGGGAACCCTATGGGGCAGTTCTACTCTGTCCTCTAGAGGTCGCCATGAGTGATCATTATAATATCCTGAAGTTAAATCTGTTTTCCTTCAGTTGTTTCCTACAATTTTCATTCTTCTCAAAGACTCAGGATCCAGAAATTTATTGTACTCTGCTCTCTTGGTTATTAAAACAATTTCACGTAGGAAATTACATTGACCTCAGACATGTTTTGTTCTCTTTGTTCGCCCTCCTTTCCCATGCCCTTAATGAACTTCACTAATGAGACAGTTGGATTCATATAGTATGAAGTGGAGACAAGGAACAGCTTAGACTACACACGTTTCTGTTTCCAAAACAAATGTCCTGCCATGAGTTGAGATAGCTCTTGCCAGCTACGATGTGGTCATGGGGTGCCTAAACCCTAAGGACTTGAAGCATAAGACTAGGAACTAAAGGTAGCATTCCTGAGTCACGTGCTAATGCTGTTCTATGCCAGAGAGCAGCACAGCCGAGCTTCCCACAGCCCCCGGGTTTCCCTGTCTCCAGTCCCATGGCAGAAAGTGAATCCCTTTCTGAGCTTTTCTTAGTCATCCCAAGGAACTCTTTTAAGGCTGTTTTCCCATGTCTATAACTTTATACGACATAATAGGACTACTCCCCAAGACTTCCTGATGAGACTCATGGACAAGCTTGAAAGACTGAACTGTATACAAATGATTGGAAACTAGAGAAGCTAAATATTACATTGAAACCATCAAGGGGAATGAGAACCCAGTGCCAAAAGATGCAGTGGAATGTTTAGAAATGATCAGAAGTTGTAACTTGAGAGCACCTGAGAGTCTTGCATGTGTCATGCCTCGACCTCAATTCCTTGGCATTTCTCACTTCATAAGGAATTGCTGCTGTTGTTAAGTGCCATAGAGTTGGTTCCAACTCAGAGACCCTAGAGAGGGTCTCCAAGGAGTGGCTGGTGGGCTCGTAAAGAATTATATATAATATAAAGAATGGTGGACAGGAGTTAGTTTCCTGTCTAAGCCTTGATTAGTGGTTCCCCTCAGCATCAGTAACCTCGACTGGAACATGGGGCTTGCAGTCCGTGTTCTTCTAGTACTTTTGTACAGACTGTAATAATGGGTGTAGAAAAAGCTTGACCTTTTGACTGTGAATAACTGTGATTGTACAGAGGAGTAATAATGCAGGAGGCTGGTCAGACCTGGTTTTATACCCAGATATTCCAGATGGTTGAGGGGAGTTGTGAACCTTCAGGGGAAGCTCCCTGGGGTTGAGAAGTGGTCAGCTGGAGGTTGTGTATTTTGGTCAGTGTATCTCTTTTTCTGACTCCAAGACAATCTAGGAATGAACTCGAGAGAATCCTACTTAAGGGTTAATCTGGACCTGACTCACACTTTCCCAAATGTTTAGACAGAGGGATGGCAAGACTCTGTAGACCTGTGTTAGATTGAATTATAGTTTGGGGAATCTTTCATAATCATTTTGAGGATGTAGTCATTGCTATTGATGGGACATCAGGATCTTTTGACGCCACAAGATTGATAGGCAGATAAGGGTCATTAGGAAGAGCTGGGGGATGCTTTTGAGATTGAGGTCTGGTCCAGTGGCCCTAGAACCTGTGTCTTCAGGGAGAGAGACTGAATGGCAGGAGTAGTAGATGTTATGTTCCTGTCTCCATAGAGAGAAATCTGATTGGACGTGTCTGTTCTTTTCCAGCTCCCTATGTGACATACCTAAGTAAGGATCCCTCAGCTCCATGCTCTTTGACGGATGCTCTAGATCACTTCCAAGTGGAAAGCCTGGATGAAATCATTCCAAATGACTTGAGAAAGAATGATCTACCCCCTCAACATGCTCCCCGCAACATCACTGTGGTTGCTATGGAAGGCTGCCACTCATTTGTCATCGTGGACTGGGACAAAGCCACTCCAGGGGATGTGGTGACAGGTGTGTTCAAGGCATATTCTCTGAATTCCTATTGAGCTGTAGGTGAGAAATCCAGATGATAAGGGATTGATGGAGGATGAATGGATTGATGAATATGTAAATGATAGATGAGTAAATGGATGGATGGATGGATGGATGGATGGATGGATGGATGGATGGATGGATGGTTGTATGAATATGTGGGTGGGTGAGTGAATATATAGATGAGTGGGTGAATGTATGTATGCACGGATAGTTGGATGGATGATAGATGAGTAGATAGGTGGGTGGGTTGGTGGGGAGATTGTTGGATGGATGAGTGAATAAATTAATGAGCAAATGACTAGATGTGTAGATGGACTGATGGGATGAATGAATAATGATGTCATCTTTAAAGAGGATGAAATATAGGCAATGATGGATGCTTTATTGGGTAGTAAAAAGAGCACCACGTGGAAATCAGAAGACCTGAATCCTAGTCCTGACTAGCTTCTGTAACCCTGAGCTAGCTACTTCACCTGTCCTTATATATACAATGCTATTGCATCTTTAATATTTTATGCTTCTGTAAATGACCAGGAACTACAAGTAGTCACATGCAAAGTAGAGTCTGTGACAAAAGTGACAAAAATACTTGCACTTTCCCGTGTCTGAGTCAATCCCAGAATGGGACTCTTCTTCTTCCTCTCTTTTCCATGCCTACTGGTTGCAAAACCAATTCAGATTGTGAGAATTGAATGTGAAAGGAAAATGCTGAGGGACCTTGAGCTAATGAATGTGTGAGCTAGCTCTTGGCTTACGAAATGTTCACGAGTTCATCTGACTCTTCCAAGCATACCAATATATTTTAGGGTTAGTTGAGCTCAAGTCAATTCCAACTTACAGTGACCCATGTGTGCAATATACAAATGCTCCCTAGGGCTTTCAAGGCTGAGATCTTTCAGAAGCAGTTTGCCAGGCCTGTCCCCTGTGGAGTCTCTGCATGGGGTCACATCTCTTGGCTAGTGGTCAAGTGCTTAACTCTGCACCACCCAGCGACTCCTGTATTTGAGGATAAATGTGTTGAGATACGATTTCACAGAAAGATGATTAAGCCTTCAGAGAGTACAACGTCCACATCAGTATCTCTGGCATAATCCTTTGATCAGTTTGTAGAGGTCATGCTTCTAGGATGCAGGTGCTTTCGTTAACTTTGTAATCAGTCAGGCATGCCAAGGCCTGTCATCAGACCTGTCACATACCCTACACTTAACTGGAAACCAGACCCCAGCACATTAATCTCGAGTACTCACGCCACTCACACAAATATCACAGAGGAGGTGTTTAGAGAGATTGAGGCTCTCTCATGTAGAGTGAGGCCAATTCCTGTTAAACTGATTGTGGAACATTCCAGTGCATGACAGGTGCAGTGTGGAGGAAACCCAACAGACCCCAAGAAGTGAAAGGAGAAGATAGTGTGGCACTTCTTCAGTGAGTGACTCGGGCTCTTTCCCCGGAAAACTTAAGAAGTCAAATGGATACACAAAAGAACTTCATGGAAAAATCCTGTTATCTCTTAATTTCATTTTCCATGAACTTTTTGAAATTCCTTCATATGTGTTGCTGCTGTTAGCTGCCATCAAGTCAATCTCTGACTCATGATGGCTCCCATGCACAACAGGATTGTACCATTGTGACTCAGAGGGTTTTTATTGACTGATTTTGGGAAGTAAATCACTAGGCCTTTCTTTGTCTTAGTCTGAAACCTGTTCACCATTATAGCAAAATGCAAACCTCGACTAACAGATGAGTGGCACATCTTAAACAAGCGATCTCATCGGAATCTACCAGAAGGACATTTGTATTCGGGTAGTTATGGGAAATGTCCAGTGCTGTGCTAATTTCCTTTTGTTCTTTCTTTCTGCATAGTCAGTCAGTGTATATATAACAAGGTGGAATCCAAAAGATTTGAAACTCCTGGAGAGCAAATATGCCTGCAGGCAGTTGCTTTTCATTTAGATTAAGGACAGCAGTGAAGTCGAAGAGTTGTGGCACTGTGGGTTAATGCGCTGGACTGCAAAATCAGATTGAACCATAAGGTCGGCTGTTCAAGCTCATCGGCCACTCCTTGGAAAACGTATACAGGGTCACTATGGTTCAGAGCCGACGTGACGGCACTTAACAACAACAACAAAGCAAATACATTCTTGAAACCTCGGAGCCCTCAAAATCCAGACACAAAGATTAAACAGAAAAACCAATGAACTACATTCAGAGAAACAATCATTAGCTGATGAAACCTAGAAGTCAAGAATAGGAGGAGCTGTGCCAACTTAACCTCCATCCCAAGCTAGGATATATATAGCGAGCACTACGTGGTGTGTCATTGTTATGTGCAACCTCAGTATCTGTTGAATCACAAAAAGAATGTGTCTCCTCAAAGGGAGCTGTGAGGAAAGGCAGAGAGGCCTTCTGAGCTACCTCCTCCTGGCTTCTGCTCCCAGCTTAACCCTCTGTGGTTTGTGTGAACCTAATCTACCTTCCACTCTTTTTGTATCACCAAAATGGCTCTTGGTAAGGTCATAATGATCACATGTTGCTAAATGCATTTGATCTTAAAGATTTGTTGATGTTTTCCTCCTTCTTGAATTTTGTGATCCAGTTCTCTGTTGTTTCAATCTCTGTTGTAAGCTCACCTTCTGTGACCTCAACAGTCTGGAAATTCTAAAGACTTGGCCATTGGTCTTCTTGAGCCCCACTCACGGAGCTGCGTCTCTGGTGTTGCTTTATCCCCAGCCTTCTCCTGTGAGTTTCACCTCTTGTGGGATTTGGCTCCTTGAAGCCCATTGATTTTCTTCCTGATTTCCATTTGCAGGTTACTTGGTCTACAGTGCATCCTATGAAGACTTCATCAGGAACAAGTGGTCCACTCAAGCTTCATCGGTGACTCACTTGCCCATTGAGAACCTGAAGCCAAACACAAGGTATGCAATGTCATTCACTTGGAAACCAAAAAGGAGACCTTATTTGCATGGCCACCAAAAATGAGAAGATTGCCCATGATGTATTGATGATTTCTTTTGAATTCTATTTTAGTTCTCACAGAGTATTAAAGAATGCTTCCTATATGTCAAGCATTTTTCCTAGGAGAAAATTACTATCTCTAGTTTAATTGTTAGGCTATTTTGCTTATACTGACACTTCTGGGCCATGAACATCCAACTTACAAACAATTCTTACTTGCTCTTTGTTGATTTTGCTAAGTACTATTGAGTCGGTTCAGATGGATAGCAACCCTGTATAGGGTTTCTGAGGAGTAATCCTTATCCTACAGTCTACACCAGGATTCCTTTAATGTTATAAAAATTTGCCCTCATTTTGAAATGATGAGACCAACCTTTACTTGCAATAAATTCTTCATCACAGTCACCTTCACTTGCTGCATGTATAGCTTTTAAATCACTGAAAAGGCTTTGAGCCTTTGCTTGCACTACAGTAAGGCTAAAAACAAAAAATGAAAACAAAACAAAAATGTATGTATGCATCTGTTCCAACTGACCTACAGGTTCTTAAAGACACACTTAAGAATAGATCTCATTCATACCTCTGAAACTGCCTATATTGTCTTCCAGACACCAGTCACTACCTTGTTGCTGTTGTTTAGTGCCCTGGAGTCTATTTCGACTCATAGTGATGCTGTATAGGGTTTCCAAGGAGTACCTGGTGAGTTTGAACCACTGACCTTGTGGTACAAACTGACCTTGTGGTCCAGAGCTTTATGCCACAGTGCCATACCAGGACTCCAAAACACTACCTACCATTAGGGAAATGGTAAGCAACAAAGGTTGTTCTCTGTGTTGAAAGACATTGATTCATTTCTAGTTGCTCAGGTAGTGACATTAGTCAATATCACTTTCATGTATGACATTAATGAAGTTATTTTTAAAAGTTTGAACTCATAGCGACTGTAAAGGGCAGAGTAGAACTTCTCCTTGTTGGTATTAAGTGCTATCTGGTTGGTTCGAACTCATAGCTACCCTGTCTAGGGTTTCCAATGAGTAGCTGATGAGTTTGAACCATTGACCTTGTGGTTCAAACTGACCTTGTGGTTGAGTACTTATCCTAGAGTACCACGCCAGAACTCTTTTAGTGTTTCTGAAAATATAAATCTTTACGAGAGCAAACAACTTCATCCCTCTTCCTAGAAACAGCTGGTGGGTGGAATGGTGACCTTGTGATTAGCAATTCAACAGTTAACACTCAGTGCCACCAAGATTCCTTAATCTGGTGCTCAAAATCCATGATGTTGATTTTCATCACTCAAAAAAGATGCTTGCACCTTAGTAGGTGTTACAAGCATACACTGGGCAGTGGCTGGCTGGCCCGAGTGCCATTCAGGGATCTAGTATTTGTAGCCCTGAGTGTAAACTATGCAAAGCTTGTTCCCAAAGTAAAAAGAGGGAGACTGCTCATTTCTTCTCTTGTCTGGTTTTGAAGGTAATGGTCATCGCGAAACCTTCCCTGAAATGTGAGTGTGGGCAAAGCATGAAACCCATACTCAAGCTGTGGTGTGTTACTGAACTAGCTGTCTCTTCTCCCAAAGGCCCTATTGTACAGATGTTCTGAACCCTCTGAACAATTACTAGGTTCTTCCAGCTTGGGAAGTGTGGAGATTGGTTTATTGTTGGTCATAGAGACCCACGTGCAAGAGAACAAAACGCTGCTCAATCCTGTGCCATCTGCACAGTCATTGCTATGTTTGAGCCCTTTCTTACAGCCAGTGTGTTAATCCATGCCCTTGAGGGTCTTCCTCTTTTTCACTGACCCTCTACGTTACCAACCATGATGTCTTTCTCCAGGGACTGTTCCCTCCTGATAATATGTCCAAAGTACATGAGAGGGAAAGTCTCCCCGTTCTTGCTTCAAAGAGAGCATTCTGTCTGTACTTCTTGGAAGACAGACTTGTTCATTCTTCTGGCAATCCATAGCAAATTCACTATTCTTTGCCAGCACCACAATTCAAATGCATCGATTCTCCTCCTGTCTTCCTTATTCACTGTCCAACTGCCACATGTATGTGAGGCAATTGAAAAGACCATGGGCTTGAGTCAGGTCTTTGGAATTGTGCTTCTGGCCTCTCTCTCTGCTCAACCAGATAGACAGGGAAAGTCGTTGTGGCGGGAACTTGGGTTTCAATGGTTAACCCAAATTGATACAAAAGAGAAACCAGAATGGTCTCTCGCAGCCTATTAGTCATTTTTTGCCATCTCCTTAATTACACACTGAGGGTTTCATATGGTGAGCTTGCAGAAGCTGCATCAGAGTAATTCCAGCTACTGCTCAGGAAACTAGTCAGCAGAAATACCAAATGGATGGCGCCTCGGAGGACAAGTGTCGTTCCTTATGTTTTTGTTTTGTTTGTTTTCACTTTTGATTGTCATTTGGGTGAAAGTTCAGAGCAAATTTGTTTTCCATTCTACAGTTTGTACAAATTTTGATTTTTGGCCTGGGTTGCAGTCTCCTCAGTGTAATAACACTCTTCCCACTTTCTCCTTGGGCTCCGCAGTTCCATGTGTCCTCCTTTCTTGCCCCTCCCAGTCTTCTGAGCCTGTGTTTAGGCACATGGCTGCCCTTTCAGTCTCATGTGTTGATTGGACTGAGGAGTACGTTCTTCTCTGGGTTCCTTATGTTTCAGTCCCTTTTGGGTTAAAGAGCAACAGTTTCGGTAGAGATTGACTGGTAGTGTTGACATCTTCCAGCTCCATCGCTTGAACTGGCTGCAGAGTTTCACCTTAAATAACTCTACAGCCACTGAGTACAAGTAGGAATAACCGGGAGAACACAAACTGCTGAGTAAGTTGATATTTGGAAGCTCAGATGGTCTTAATTTTGCGTAGCTTTTTTTTCTTCTCATTTATATCTTATATTTCACTTACATTACATCTTATAAGAGTGAACAAAGCAAAAATATTTGATGCACACATATAAAACAAAATAGAAAATACATATTTGTTTACATGTTATAAGGGCACATTCTGTAAGCCAAGGCCTTGCCCAGGCACACAGTTTTACTCAGTCCATGGGCCTAGAGCATGACGCTGCTGTCTCTTCATTAATTTTGCATAGCTTTTTGTTTACTGTTTTTTAAATGAAATAATTTTTTTTTAATCTCCTAAATGAGATATGAATTGCTTTTTTGAAAGACTTAATGAGACTCACTTTACCAAATGGGCTTTTTTGGGGGGGGATGGCAGAGCACCCTAGGGTGATGTTCAGGGTGAGTTGGCTCAACAGATGTACAGCCTTAGCTCTCTGATTATAAATAATTCACCTTTAAAAAATTCAGTGCAGTTTAGTTAGCACATCTAATCTGTATGCCAAATGTGATCAAATAAAGTATCTCAGTCACTTAATTTTCCAAACCAACCAGGAGTTCCACCATACTTTTTACAATATTTTGTTACCCACCCTAAATGGCCAGCTGAATGAAACACTGAATTCAACATTCTTGCTGGCCAAAAGCCATAGGAAAAGCTTAGTAAAGTGGTAGAATGACATTAGGTACAAGGATTCTTACACCCAGCAGTCCATGAAAACCTTATGGGTCATTCTGTGTGATGCCTGGAGTCACCATGAGTTGAAATCACCTCACTGGCAATCGGGATTTTTTTGTTTGTTTTGGGGGAATTATTTCACCTTTAAGTGATGACTTAGGGAGCTCATATAATATCTGGAATCCCGGCAGTAAGGGAAACATGGCAGATTGAGGATAGATGTAGTACGTCATAATCACAGTGCTGGTCTGTTTCTATCCACTTTTTTGCTCCAGTAATAATTGGGTTATTGGGCTTGAGGATTTAGAACTATAGTTGTGGGGGACAACTAGGTCAATTGGCATAACATAGTCAGCAAACCTACATTCTACATCCTATTCTGATGAATAGCAACTAGGGTCTCATAAAGCTTGTGAGCAGCCATCTAAGATCCAACTATTGGTCTCTTCCTGACCGGATGAAAGAAGCATGAAGAAAATAAAAAATGGGAGGAAACAGTTCATCCAGAAGTAGTCCATGAGCCATGAGAACTTCAGCCTGTACCACCCTGAGACCCAAAGAACTAGATGATGCCCAGCTACCATGATCAACTATTCTGATTGGTACAAAAAAATTCTGGAAAGAGTGAGAAAAAAGGTGGAACAAAACTCAAATTCACAATAAAAAAAGACTTGACTGACATGTCTGTTAAAGACTGGTGGGGTCTCTGAGACTATGATCCTTAAACACCCTTCAGTTCTGAACTGAACCCGTCACTGGGAATCAATGTCCAGCCAAAGGACAGACAAGCCCATCAAGAGCGGCATGTGCTCTTCAGAATAATCAACTATATGAGACTAAAAGGGCAGTACTTGCTCCCAAACAAAGCTCAGAAGGCAGGAAGGAGCAGGAAAGAGCGATGACTAGAAACAGGGACCCAGGGAGGAAGTGGGAAGAATGCTGTTGTTACATGTTGGGTATTGCAATCAGTGTCACAAAACAAAATGTATATAAATTGCTGAATGAAAACCAATTTGTTTTGTAAACTTTCACTCAAACTACAATAAGAAGTTAAAGAAAAAAATTGGGTTAAGATTTGGATTGTACTTTGTAGAGTTTTGCTCCTCCAGGCTCTCCTCCAGGGCTGTGGGACTCAAGGGGACCCTTAGTCTAACAGGGTGGGATTGGAGGAGCAGATCATCAGAGGTGGACTTTGAAAGGGTCTCCAGGAAGTGACCGCTCCTGATGCTTTTAAGTCATGCCCATTTGCTCAGTATGTACCCTCTGTTTTCTTGACCCACACGTCGATGCTGTTACTATGTATTATTTTGAGAAGTCATCCAAACATCAAAAATTCAGGAGAAATATGAAAAAACACAGTTTATATGCATTTATAAAATAAAAATTAAGATTCAAACTTAAAGTCTGACCCAAAGTATTTGCTGCATTGTTTTGGAATCTGTCGTATTTCACAGAAATGTTTAAAACATGTTTGTTTCATAAATGTGCCTTCTGATTTCAGGTATTATTTTAAAGTTCAAGCCAAAAATCCTCATGGTTACGGGCCTATCAGCCCTTCGGTCTCCTTCGTTACAGAATCAGGTAGGGATGACATCACATTCATGTTTGCTTACTCTAAAAACACAATGGGAAATCTAGAGTAAATGGTTTCTATAGAGTAACAAAGAAAGAAGTTAAATCCTTACTTTTCTACTGAAGAACAAGTTGGATTGCTCTTGACAAAATAAACATTGTTTTCTTTCTCCTATGTTAAAGCTTGGATAATAAAATTAAGAGTAATTTTTACTGGGGTTGTCTAGGGAAGGGAAAGGTTAAATGCCTAATGAAAGGAAAGAATCTTGTTTTCAGCAATGCTGGAAACATGACAAGTTTGAATGTTATCTGGGAAAAGATCATGTCTGAGTTATTTTGTTGTGTGTTGCAAACAGCTGAACAGCATACATGTGCTTTGTTCTGAGAGGCAGTTGCATCTCTAGTAGGTAATGGATGCTGCCTTTATAGGAGGAGGAAATTGCATTGTTGTTAGGTGCCATTGAGTCAGTTCCAACATAGGTACTCTATACACAACAGAATGGAACACTGCCTGGTCCTGGGCCAACCTCACAATCATTGCTACACCTGAGCCCATCAATGTTGCCACTGTGCCAACCCATTTCATTGGGAGTCTTCCTCTTTTTCTCTGACCCTCTACTTTACCAAACATGATATCTTTCTCCCATGACTTATCCCTCCTGCCTTTATAGTAGGAGGAGATGGCTTTACTTGTATCGGTATGTCAGTGGAACTGTTATTTGTAACAGCAGCATCATTCAGAGGGGTTCCCTGCATTTGCATGCTGGTGTATGGAAATCTGATTGTTAACTCTCATCAAGTCAGCCCCCCAGGCACACTGAAAGAAAACCTGCCCCAACCTGCAATATCCCCGTGGTCAGTTTTGGATTGAACTGCTGTGATCCATAGCTTGGCATTCGCTGATTTTCAGAAGTAACTCTACAGGCTTTTCTTCTCAGGCCATCTTAGTCTGGAAGCTCCACCGAATCACAGCAACATGCAAGCTTTCAATAACAGATGGTGGTAACTGCGCATTAAACCCTAAACCAGGGTTTAGTTGATTTGGATTCATGGAAACCCATAGGGACGAGTAGAACTTCTCCAGAGGGTTTCTGAGGCTGTTCATCATAGTTGGAGCAAATAGGAACTGGCCAACCTTGTGGTCCACAGCCCAATGTTTGCCCACTGCTCTATCAGGGCTCATTAGGAATATATTCTGATGGTCTATGGTCTGAAAGCGCTCATGAGAAGCTGACTTTTTCTTGGGTTAGTGACCTTTCTGTACAGCAAGCCAACGGGAAAGTTCAGACTAACCTGCAGCCCCAAGCCAGGCCAATTCTGTAACAAAAATGGTTCTAGTTTCCATTTAATTAGCTTATGTTCTAAATGTAGCATAATGCTAGAAGATTTGCCACAGGAAGGTGTCTTTAGGTATAATGATTCAACATCGAAAGAATCAAAATATGTGGGAAATGTCTTTTATGAAAATATTATACTTGGGCAGTAGGCAAAGGAACTGTTCCATGTAATAGGTGTGCTTCTCACTAGTAACAGAGAGAGGGGCAACCATATTCAGTGGTTAGTTTGAAAAAGTAATGACTATCTCTGTGCTTACGGCTGCATTTCCAAAAATAAAACAGACTTTGGGCTACTATCTGAATTGGCATAATAAAAAATCTGTAGAAAAACCAAATCATTCAAACCTAAAAATATGCACCAATAAACTCAGATCTGAAATCTGCCTGGAAGTAAGAAGTGATGTCTACATATACTCTGGGACTGAAAGACCATTTTGAAAAGATAGTTTTCTTATCCAAGGGGGCTTAAAACAGTTCATAGAAAAATGGAATGAAAATATAATGTAATTTTTCCACAAATGTTTTGATGTCCCCTTGTGCTTCTCCCCCCAAAAGAACTCTCCACCAAACACAGACATTTTTAAAAAATAGTGAGTCTATTGAACTTTTTAAGAGGACTTAAAACATTTATTGATGAAGATCAAAGAGCACAGCCTTTGGTATGGATTACATTTCAATGTAAAGAAAACACAAATCCTCACCACTGGACCAATAAATAACATTCTTATCAATGGAGAAAAGACTGACGTCGTCAAGGACTTCATTCTTCTTGGATCAACCATCATGGAAGCAGCACTGAAGAAATCAGACGACGTATTGCATTAGGCAAATCTGCTGCACAAGACCTTTTTAAAGTGTTGAAGAGCAAAGTTTTCAGCTTGAGGTCTAAGGTGCGCCTGACCCAAGCCAAGGTATTTTGAATAACCTCATATGCATGTGAAAGCTGGACAGTGAATAAAGAAGACCGTAGAAGAATTGATGCTTTTGAGTCATGGTGTTGGAGGAGAATATTGAAAGTGCCATGGGCTGCCAAAAGAACCAATAGATCTATTTTGGAAGAAGTGCAGCCAGAGTGCTCCTTGGAGGCCAAATGGCCAAGCTTCGTCTCTCATACTTCAGACATATTTTCAGGAGAGACCAGTCGCTGGAGAAGGATATCATGTTTGGTAAGGTGGAGGGTCAGAGAAAAAGAGAAAGACCCCCAATGAGATGGATTAGCCAAGTGGCAGCATCGATGGACTCAAGCGTGGCAACAGTAGTGAAGTTGGCCCAGGATTGGACAGTGTTTTGTTCTGCTGTGCATAAGGTCGCTATGAGTTGGTACCGACTCAATGGCACCTAACAAGAACAACAAACCAATGTCAAAACCCAATGTGAGGTGCCCACAATTTCTATATATGAGGTATTTTAACTGGCTCTTCACAACATTTGAGCTCTCCTCAATAACAACAGGAGAAAAAGTCTGTGCAGTTCAAACCCATGTTATTCAATAGCCAACTCTAATTATACACGATTTCTGACTCCAGGAGGTTGGTGCCCCTAACCTCTGTATTGTTCAAGCATCAACTGTAAGTAGCAAGGCCATACAATTGGGGAAGAGAAGTTCTCAAAAGAAAATGCTTGGAAAGTAAGAATTAAGGCAAGCATCTGGATCATATCATATCAGCATCATTTTTACAAATCTCTTCCAGTTTGGTTAACATTTTACAGAGTTTGGCGTGTTTGTGCCATGTGATAGTAATGCCCGTTATTGCCTTTTCCCTCCACAGATAACCCTCTGCTTGTGGTGAGGCCACCAGGTAGGTTTCTCGCCTTGTTCCTCTTGAGAGTTTTGTCATCAAGGTCAATATTGAATACGAGGTTGTTGTGACTACTCATAAATATAGACGCTGAACCTTTTTTTTTTTTTTCCATTAAAAAAAAATTGGGGGCAATGTCTATGGTTTTGTTGCTCCTTGATCTAAGGAAAAGAATGATGTGGGGATTTTCGAGTAGAGCCACTGGTGGTGGTGGTGGTCGTGGTTATGTGCCATGGAGTCGGTTTTGACTCATAATGACCCTGTACAGCCTTTCCAAGGCTGTAAATCTTTACGGGAGCGGAAAGCTAGTAGCTATGAAAAACCATGATGGGCAGCCAATAGAAATAAAGTAGATATGTATGTTGCAGTAGCCCTTTTGGGTTCTTGAAATTGTTCAAAAATAGTTGAATGCATGCTGATGAAGCTTCAGGAGACCGTGCTGAGAGACCTTAGGGGGTGGTTGCCGTATCCCAAAATGTCACATTCGTCATTACAGCTTATTTCACCTGAGTTTAAAGGCTTTTTGCCAACTCTAAGAACCCCTTTTTGAATTGCTAAGACTTGAAACTTGTTCCGGTGAAGGGAAATCCCCGATTGCACTTAAGAAAGACTAAGAAAGATGGGGGAGAGAAAGAAGGTGGTATGATTTGAGAAATGGGAATGCAACAGGCACACTTGCCTCAGAAAAGTCCCGCGAGGAGAGAAAGGCCAGTGAAGAAGCGCAATTTCCTGACACTCTGAGCAGGGTTAGACTAAGCAAAGCACCAGAATTTACACAGTGTGTTGTGTTGTCAAGGCGGAGAGCCCATCTGGATCCCATTTGCTTTCAAACACGACCCTGGCTACACGGACTGCCATGGCCGGCAGTATGTGAAGCGGACATGGTACAAGAAGTTCGTGGGGGTCGTTCTCTGTAACTCCCTGCGGTATAAGATCTACCTCAGTGACAACCTAAAAGGTAGGTCTTTGGGGAAGGTATGGGAAATTTTGATTTTGTGAGGTGTTCATTTGATCAAAGGAGGTGTACCTGTATGCACCTGGACCTACCTACCACGCCTCACTGGCCAAAATACAAACCATTTCAACCATCTCCACTTGGGACTTACTAGTTTTTCTTTGGGTATCCAAATACATTTAAAAACAAAAAACACCCACTACTTTTTAGCAATAAAGTCCAAAAAACTATTGGGTAAAGACTATATCAAGGAAAAATCTCCTACCCTATCCCCACTACCAGTACAACTTCACAGGGAAAAGATAGTAAAATACGTTCTGTGTCAGAATGTATTTTCATCATAGTGGTCAAATTAAGGCAAAAAAATCACCTGAGTACTTTGAAGTACTAATACTTCAATCCTGCCATTTCTCTCCAGCTGACATTTGAGACATTCATCCTTTTGTTATTTCAGATGTCAAAACCTAAAACTTGTAAAAAATTTTGAGCATATAATTCTTAAATTTTGCCACAGGTATTCTCTATTTTGTCACTGATCAGGTTTTTTTGGGTTTTGTGTGTGTGTGTGTGTGTGTGTGTGTGTGTGTGTGTATGTTTTTCTCTTGCTAACTGTAATCATCCCTTCTCATCCCCTACCGTGGTAGTTTCTCTGTATTTATGCATCTCCCATTACTCTCACTCTGTTTGTCTCTGTCTTCTCTTCCTCTGTCCTACCACCACCCTTTTCCTCTCTTGTTTCAGAATTAAGTAGCCTGGGTTGGGAGAAGCAACGTTGTCCTACTATGCAGGCGAGGTTCAGTACCATGGACAGCATCACACGCCATACAAACACACCCTGTCCTCCTAGTTGTGAATGAAAATAGGTCCTCTATTTTTACAGAACTTCATGCCTGTCATAATCATTTTGTAACAAATTATCTAACCCAATTATTAGACAAAACAATCTAAGGAGTAAAACAGTCTGTCCAGTCGCTGACACTATGATTAGTCACACTGTCCATTTATTGAACTCTTATAAAGTACTTGAGCACACATGATCTCGCTGAATCCTTACAGCATAGGAAGTTAGTGCATTATTGTGATTTTTCAGACACAGTATGGCACACAGAGTTGAAACAGTGTGTCCAGTTTACAGAGACTCCAGAGTGCATACAAACTCTTCAACCCTATGCCATTCTCTGGCTGTTTACTGGCCCATTGTGTTCTCTTGTGCAGATACATTCTACAGCATTGGGGACAGCTGGGGAAGAGGTGAAGACCATTGCCAGTTTGTGGATTCACATCTTGATGGGAGAACAGGGCCTCAGTCCTACGTAGAAGCCCTCCCTACCATCCCAGGTAATAAAAACAAATGCCTGATATATTACACTGGGGGTGTGAGAAGAGCATTCACCGGGAGAGAAAATTCACTGTAGCTCCACCTTCACTTATCATTGGATAAGCGATGTTGGCAGCATTTTGGATCTTAAAGCTTAGAAAAAAGAAAGAAAGCAAGAAAATCAGCAGTATATCCCTGCCATGTGCTGCAGCTGACTCCACTCAGGTTGGGCCTCGGGGAGGTGGGAAGATTGCAAAGAAGCATATAATGTCATCTCTGTTCTCAAGAACATGCTTGGTAGCTGGTGAAAATCGGTATGTGCAAAGTCACAGTACAGATAATGGCAAGTGAGAAGGGTTAGGAAATCATGAGTTCTGTGAGGACTGGATGGGGATCTGCTCACCATTGTTAACCTGGCTCAGGGCCTGCCTCATAGTGAGTGATCAACACCCAATGAAACCCACTGCCATAGAGTGACCTCTGATGTATTGCAACCCTTGTAGGACAGAGCAGAGCTGCCTCAGAGGGCTTCTGAGGTGGTCATCTTTATGGAGTCTGGCTTCTACATCTTTCTACCACAGAGCAACTGGTGGGTTCCAACCTTGAACCTGTTGGTTAGCAGCTGTTAGAGCTCTGAGTGTTTCCTAGCAATTGGGTAAAATTATCTTCTTTTATAGAGAGAGTACATCGATAATACATTTGTCTACCTGTGTCCCAGATGTGAGGACTGCATTATCCCCCAGATCGTGCCTGGGAAGAGCCTCATAAACCATGATTTAAAAATTGTTATGTTTATTTGGCAGTGACAGGTATCATAAGAACAACTTATCAGAGGTCTACCATCTGAAAAGGGTCCCGGAGTGGCATTGTAGGATAAGCACTGGACCGAATGGTCGGTTTGAACTGCAAGATCAGTGGTTCAGACTCAACAGCTGCTCATCTGGAAGGAGGCTGTTAAGGGTGAGGTTTTTTCATGTTGGTTCAGGGACTTTTGACACATTTCCCTCTCCTCTTTTTCCTTTCACCTTCCAGGCTACTATCGCCAGTATCGCCAGGAACCTGTCAGCTTTGGTCACATTGGTTTCGGAACCCCCTTCTATTATGTGGGCTGGTATGAGTGTGGGGTGTCCATCCCAGGAAAGTGGTAGCCCCAGAACAGGCATGCTGAGAGTCACCTGTCCTGCCCCCTGGACTAACCTGAACAAGAGGCTTGAGCAGGGAGCTTGCAGAGGAAGACGAAGATGGCGTCCCACCTCACCTGCCTCCAGGTGTCCAGAAGAGCAGATGATGACACTGTATATTCCTGTTGTCTCCCATCTGGAATGTTGTCTTATTTCACGGCCTGGACTACAAACAGAATTCAACTGTGATGTCCACATTGCTTCTCCATGGTTTTTGTTTGTAAGAGCAGATCCCCAGAGACATCAGAAACCAGCAGCTACTGGAGATGCCACAGCAGCTTCATAGCAATTTTAAAACTTTTCTGACACAATTTCAGACATTTCTGTGTCTCCAGGGAACAACATGAGCATGCTGTGCTTGCTTCATGGAACGCGAAACATGCTCTTCATTTTTTTTTTTTCCTTTGAACTCCTCCAAAGCTTGCTGAATGTGTGCTTCAGATCTCTTTGTATTGCAGTAGAACGAAATTGCTAAAAACACCACCAAAGCAGCTATATCCCAATTAAGATTTCTTCTACTATGGACTTGCTCACTACTAGACTAAATGTATCAAATCTTATTTGTAAAGTCTCAAATTTGATATATAAGTATATATGTATATATGCATATACATATACCTTCTTGTCTGCAAGAATATTAATTAAAATGGCTAAATTTATACTTGTTCATTAGATGGATGTGTGGGGGACTATTTACAAGAAAGGTGCTGTTCATTAACATTGTTTGAAGTAGCTCTGGTAGTGTAGTGGTTACTAGTTGGGTTGTTGACCTCAAGATCGGAAGTTTGAAACTACCAACCATTCCATGGGAGAAAGATGAGGATTTCTGTTCCCATAAAGATTTACAGCCTCAGAAACCCTATACATGGTTGTTATGAGTTGGAACCAACTCCATGGCACACCCACCACCACCAGAAGTGCCTAGTAAATACGGACTCTGCATAATGTAAGAAGTGGGAAAGTGTTCTTCTTGTGATGCTGCCAGGCTAGGGTAGTGACCGGAATGCTGAGATACCAGCAGCAAGTTGTACCTGAGCTGAACCATCCTTCACTGTAGCATGCTTTCTCCTTAAGGAGGCAAGCTGATTCCCATGTCTCTAGGGGACATATCAAGGAGCTCTGGTAGCATAGTGGTTATGAATCGGGCTGTGAACCTCAGGGTCAGCAGTTCAAAACTACCAGCTGTTCCATGGGAGAAAGATGAGGCTTTCTGCTCCCATAAAGATTTACAGCCTCGGAAACCCTGTTACAGGGTCGCTGTGAGTTGGAACCGACTCCACAGCACATAACAACAACAACAACAACAGGGGGCATATCCACTGCTAAGAAGTCAGGGTCTCTCTCTAGGGAATCCTACCACAGCACTGACTATGCAAAGTCAGCATTGCACAATCGAATCCCACCTCTGCCACCATTCTAGGTTAATGGAGCACTCCACCTCTGGCATCAGATGTGTAGTGGATAATGAATCCCACTTCACACACCAACCGTGTCCTGTGGAAATCTCAGCCTCCCTTCCCTGGTCAGTCTAGACACCAGCTGCTGCGTGCAGCCCTTCTCTCTCTCATCCTCATGGCCCTGGAGAAAGGTCAGTACTTACTGGCTCCTTCTCCCTCTCATCACCATTTAAGTGAGTATCCACCCCCTTCTCTCTCACATCTCTAGTCATCTGGGGCCAGGTCAGTAGACACTGGCCCCTTTTCTGTTTCTTAGCTCCAACAATACATTGGAACAACACACATACTTCAGGGAAAGGACTATCTCTAGTCTATCAGAAATAAAGGTACAAATACACAGAGCCATGTCCAGTATGGATGAGAGCGGATACTCACTCTCACCACACAGAAGCTCCATGGAGTCTCCATCTTCCATGGTCCTTCCTGATCTCCCCACATGGCCATCATCAATGATGTCATGTCTCCTGAGATTTAGTGATTGTTGGCTCCCTGGTGGTCTCCCATTGTCTGGTCACATCCTACTCATTGGCCTTAGGTGTGGTCCACCTCCCAGGAACCAGGGGTCCAAAGACCAAATTGTTTACTACAAGGGGCCTCCACACTTCGGAACTGTGTTAATTAAGATTTTAGGTCCATAATAATTTTTAAATCCAGTTTTTTAAAAAATCTTTTTTACTTTCCTTTCTATCTCAGCATTTACTACTTATGATATAAACCTCTCACCTCTCTATATTGCAATGAGAGGGTTTATTTAAAGATATCTGAATGAAATTCTTTTTAAGACTTGGTGTACTTTCCACGTACTTCTCTCATCCCTGACCCACAGGCGGCTCTGTGGAACTTAAGCTTTGTCTTCTTTCATGAAGAGTCACCTTAAGAGAAGCCTGGTGGAAATGTGCTAGAGACAAACTCTTCTTTTTCCAGTTTGAGAACCTTATGACTCATTATGTAAGTGATTTACAGCAGAATGTAATCCAGGCTCCTAAAGTAAGTTATTTTTGACACCAGTACTGCCCATCAGGTGCCTCTGTAGTCTGAGATGTGGTGGAACCTGATGTGTTTTTTCTGTCAGTTTGAAAGTCAAGCACACAAGGAAACAAAGAACTGCAGTGTTTTGGTGATAGCTCCATGGTGCCTCACATTTTTCTGCCAGTTGTAGTATCCTTCACTGTTTTCTACAACAGTAACAAAAATACAAGCATTCTGACAGCCTGGGAAAGCCCTAGAATCCCTTAGAGGGACAGACTAGACACCCAGCTCATATGCTACATTTCAATGTGCAAAGCGGGTAGTAACTTTCAAGTAGCTTTTGGGGTTTTGTACATGAAAGGGAGTTGTTAAGTGTTGTTGAGTTGGCTGAGACTCAGTGACGCTATGCACATGAGAACAAAACACTCATAGGTCCTGTGTAAAAAGAATGTCTAAAATAACCCTTAATATTTCATATACATTAACATTCAAATGTGCTTTACCATGCAAGTTAAAGATACGATCTTTACATAAACTCACTTTTCTTCAAAGCTCATAACGTCTTTTATCACCTCCCACCCACAAAGTTTCTGCTTGGTTGTCAGCATGCCCCAGGCTGCTAATGCAAATGAGGAAGATTCCACGCTGAGGTCTCTTCAGGAAGAACACTATTAGATTGCACATTTCCTGAAAATTCTTCTTTCAATGTAGAGTTCATGAGGCTGTGCATGAGAAAAGCCATATGGTCTACTCAATAAGCCTGTCTTGGTGATGGGGCCACCTTGGAAGAAGTGGGAATTAGGGCTCAGCATAGTATTATAGCCAACCTCTCTCTGATTCACAATTTTCATATACTGAGGGGTGTTCCTCTCCAAAAGATTGTATGCTATCATGTGTGCTTCCTGTGAAGGACAGTGCACTATCAGGTGCGTTTCCTCTGAAGGATTGTATGCTCATGTACAGACATGTAAAGATCTCACTGGCAGTTACACCCTGGCTTTTGAACCCACCCTGGAATCTTCAGGCTGTATTTGATTACAGAACTCTGGGTATTTATTAAAAATAGATGTTTGTCATTTGTTTTCCACTTGAGATGGAAACTGAATACAATTCCCAGATAATACAGGCATTAAAATAAAAACAAAAACCCGAATCTAAACTTATTACCAATGTTCTATCCAAATGGAGTCAATTAATCGTTCCTTTTTGTACACAGAGCCGCTATGAATTGATGGCACCTAACAACAACAACAGCAACTAAGTATTCCTGAACACTTCATTGTGCTCATGAGGAATCTGTACCTGGACCAAGAGGCAGATGTTCAAACAGAACATGGGAACACTGAATAGTTTAAAATTAGGAAAGGTGTGCGACAGGGTTTTATTCTTTCACCATATTTATTCAACCTGTATGCTGAGCAAATAATCTGAGAAGCTGGGTTCTATGAAGAAAAACGTGGCATCAGGATTGGAGGAAGACTCATTAACAACCTGTGATACGCAGATGATACAAACTTGCTTGCTGAAAGTGAAGAGGATTGATTTAAAATATTTACGGATGAATATCAAAGAGCACAGCCTTCAGTATGGATTGCATCTCAATGTAAAGAAAACAAAAATACTCACCACTGGACCAATAAACAACATTTTTATCAAAGGAGAAAAGATTGAAGTTGTCAAGGACTTCATTCTTCTTGAATCAACTATCAACACTCATGGAAGCAGCAGTCAAGAGATCAGATGATGTATTGCATTAGGCAAAATCTGCTGCACAAGACCTTTTTAAAGTGTTGAAGAACAAAGATGTCAGCTTGAAGACTAAGGTACACCTGACTCAGGCCATGTTATTTTCAATAATCTCATATGCATATGAAAGCAGGACAGTGAATAAGGAAGACCATAGAAGAATTGATGCTTTTGAGTTACAGTGTTGGAGGAAAATATTGAAAGTACCATGAGCTGCCAAAAGAACCAACAAATCTGTGTTGGAAGAAGTGCAGTCAGAGTGCTCCTTGGACTCCAGGATGGCCAAACTTCATCTCTCATACTTTGTATATATTGGTATACATTGTCAGGAAGGACCAGTCACTGGAGAAGGATATCATGTTTGTTAACGTGAAGGGTCAGAGCAAAAGAGGAAGACCCCCAGCGAGATGGATTGACAAGGTAGCAGCATCAATGGGCTCAAGCATGGCAAAAATTGTGAAGTTGGCCCAGGATCCAGCAGTGTTTTTTTCTGTTGTGCATAGAATTAGTCGGTACCAACTCGATGGCACTTAACAACAACAACAGTGCTGGTTCAAGTGAGTGTACAAAATTGTATCAAATTTCTTTGTTGTTGTTAAGTGCTATAGAGTCGGTTCCTATTCATGGTGATCCCATGCACCACAGAACCAAACACTGGCCAGCCCTGCATCCTTACAATTGTATTTGAGCCCATTGCAGCCCCAAATTGCAGCCATTGTGCCAATTTGTCTCATTAGAAGTCTTCCTCTTTTTTGCTGACCCTCCACTTTGCCAAGCATGATGTCTTTTTCCAGG